TGAGAATTGAGATGGGTTATATATACATATGTATTATATACAGGACATAAATTTCTGGGGCAATGTGTACCCGACTTATGTGGCGCTACCTTATTTGCGGGAGAGCAATGGGCGTATCGTAGTGAATGCTTCTGTCGAGAACTGGTTGCCCCTTCCTAGGATGAGCTTGTACTCTGTAAGTTAAGTTAAATCCGAAATTATAGTACTTTTGTTGTTCCATTTTCGATTTTCTGTTATTGTGAATTGTGAGTGTAGGCTGCGAAATCGGCACTGATGAACTTTTACGAGACGTTGAGGTTTGAGGTGAAAGATGAAGTTGGGATAACTGTAGCAACCCATGGTTGGATCGGAACTGAGATTGCTGGCGGCAAGTTTATGGTCGAGGAAGGTGCTGAGATGCAGTGGAAAGAGGAACGGGAAGTAAGTTCTTTGTGTTGGGAAAAAAAAAAAAAAAATTGCTCTTGCCTGTAAACGAGCCGAGTTGAGTGGAGCTTGAGCTCAGGGTGCTCGTGCTCGAGCCTTTAACGAACTGAGTCAGCCCTCATTTAGTTCGAGCTTTAACGAGCCGAACTATAGAAAATTAGTCTTTTCGAGCCTTAATGAGTCTTATCAAGCAACTAAACGAGCTTTAACTGTGCTTGAGCTCGTCTAGTTTATCAAACGAGTCGAGCCGAACTGATCTCAGGAGCGGCTCGTTTAACTGCTCTACGGGCTACGATTAATCCGAAAAAGGGAAAAACAAATGTAGTAAACATTTTACATTATTGTTTTGGTAGGTACATGTGTCGGGTGGCGCAGTGGATGAGTTTGCAAAGCTGATAGTGGCGGGGGCATGCAGGGGGGACCCGTATGTGAAGTACCCGAGCTGGTACGACATATTCTTCTTGTATCGAGTTTTTGCTCCAAAAGTTCTCTACTGGACTTTCCGGTTCCTCCTAAGTAATGGCGGTGGTGTGAAAAGAGTGACTTCGTATATTGGCACCGGGCGGCCGCTCATAGAGGCGGCTGCCAGCTCCTCTCCTCCGCGGAAACAGCTCTATCTGGAGGCTGCATCTCCACCTCCGAGCTTCTATGGGACTTCCTCACACCAGAGGAAATTCGAGTAAAAAAACTAGTCTTCGAGGTGTTTTTAATGTTTGATGATGTGTTTTCTTTTTCTTTATAACTTTGTGTGTTGATGCTTGTGGAGTGATTGGATTGTTGATGATGGGTTTGAATAAGCAGCAAAAGAACTGCAGATTTGCTATGCTCTTCTGATCTTTTTCAGCATATTTATTATTTAATGAAACTTGAGATTCAAAATTCATCAAAAAAAGAATTGCGATTTTGGTCCATTAATTTTCGTTGTTCCCATTTTTGCCCAATAACTTATTTGGAAGATCCAAAATTAGTCCACTAACTATAAAAAAATTTTAGTCGCAATTCAAATTAATTTAATTATTCGTATTTTTTTCGGGATAATTACGTGGTGGCAAAAACAAGTTAATGGTACACGTCAGTTTAGCTGATGGGTAAATTGATGTCGATGAAATTGCATTAGCATATCTCGACAAATATGATCGACTCGTCTCTTTGTCGATTAACTCGTCTCATTAGTTTGAATGTCATTCTATTTCTTATTATTATTATTTATGTTTATGTGGTATTGAACTTGTTGTGTTTGGGCTTTTAAATCTAGGTAGTTAGGACTTTGTAATATTATTAATACATCTGTGTGGCTTCATTATCTGACAATTGAATATCATTTGAAAGAAAATAATTATGTTCATCGTGTACAACTTTTTGTACATTTCTCCCATCATAGTTTCCATCTACATCACATATGCTTCTGACAATCGAGATCGAGATAGAACTAAATTGACCAAAATTCCGATGGGCAAATGCTTCTGACAATCGCGATCGAGATTGAACCAAATTGACCAAAATTAAGAGTTAGTAGATTGATTTTAAACTATCGATGGGCAAATGCTTATGTCAGTCGTGATCAAGATTGAACCGAATTGACCAAAATTTAAGAGTTAGTAGATTGATTTTGGAGATCGAGATTAGCCGATGGCCAAATGCTTGTGACAGTCGCAATCGAGATTGAACTAAATTGACCAAAATTTAAGTGTTAGTAGATTGATTTTGGAGATCGAGATTGAACCAAATTGACCAAACTTTAGAGTTAGTAGACTGATTTTGGATAACAATAGGCAAAAATAGGAAACATTATAAATTAGTGGACCGAAACTGCAATTTCCCTGAATAAAAAAAAGCAAACCAAGAAAAATAGAGTGTGCTTTTATTCAAAAATTTCGACTAGAGATAATCGTCGACCGAAATATCGAGATGCTCGTGATCATTTATTCTCGACCACTCGTTTAGCTGCCGTGAATCGACCCTCGACCCCGACAGACGAGCGTCGATTGCGAGGCCGGCGTCCGATGCGGCCCTCTGCACCGACCTGGGCGAAATCCCAAGGGCGGCACCGGCTGGCAGGACGAGCGGGAAGTTGAGGTTTCCTGATGACGTGTCGCCACGAAGGCAGTAGGACGCCACATCGTGGGCAACGGCGGCTGCCTCCGGGGTGGCGTATGAACCGAGCCAGAGGCGGTCGGGAGTCCCTGGGACCCTAATTTCCGTGACCCATTTCCCCCACTTCCGACGGCGAACGCCCTTGTATTTCTTCTTGCCCGTGTTGTCTCCGGTTATGTATGCGCTCTCGTTCGATGAGTAGCTCATTATTGTTATTGGTTTTATAATTTCCAGCGTGAATTGAGGAGAAATGGTGAAATAATGGGGGGAATATTTATAGGTTGAAGAATTTTGAGGGTCAAAATGGAAGCTGAGTGTGCTTCATTTTTTATTTTTTTAGTGTTTATTTCGAGATCAAAAGTTAATATTTTCAAATGTCAAAGTCAAAGGAGG